ACACACGCTCACGAGTTTTAAAGGTTCTACAGTCATACACATATTCGCTGATTGACGCACGTCGACTCAGAACTCAGTTGTTCCAGAGAGGGTAAATTAAATAAAAAATGAAATGAACATTTAATTCTAACCTAATAAGTATTTTACAAAACTAAAGTAAACTTAAGCATTAAACTCATCCAAGTTTTTGTTTAAAAACAATATTTGGTCTACATTTTTACCGAGAAGCCGCATTCTCCTCTCTTCTAAAATCCGACCCGACGTCGAAAACACCCTGTCGCTGGATGCAGAGCTTGCTGGTATATTTAGGGGAGAGACGGCTAATGGCGCTCACCTAAAAAAAATCTCACAGTCTTAGGAAACTAGAACTACTTTTTTCATTTTGTTTTCGCGAAACATTTGACTTGCATGTATAGTAACAATATTTATTTATGAATTGATATTTAAAACAAATGAACGGCATTGCCCGACTGGGAAGGGCAATTTCAATCATCCTCAAGATCATCCTCAGATGACTCACTTTGTCCTCACTTTCATGTCACTTGACCTCACTTTCAAAAACTCGTTTTTTAGTAGTTTTAACATTGAAAATGTTTCTGTTATCCTATATAACGGAGCCCAAATCGAATTAAAATGCTACATTTGCCACACCATGACGTCATATATACAAGGGTATAGGAAATCTCGACGCAGCGGCGGCAGTCGGCCAGCGCGCGCAAAAACCATTACATCGCTAATTGTTTATTGATATATCTTTATTAGTTTAAAAGCAAAAAATATGGGGTTTGCTTTGATAATCTCTAGTTAGCCTAACACCAAGACATTGTTTAGCAAATTCTAAACGTAACTTTGATTTTAAATTATCAACATTTTTAGAATTATCGAAAAAAAACAAAAAAATCGTCCACATATAACGCTACTAAAGTTAATGATTTTTGTCTCTTTTAATGAATAAACAAGCTTCCTGTTGTGAATGTTTATAACCAATTTTTGACAAAACTTCATTCATTTTGCATTCCAAGCTCTGGACGCCTGTTTTAGCCCATAAACAGCCTTCTTTAAACGGTATACCTTATTCGAGGTATGACTACCTGGGTACAAGTGTCGACTGCACCGCGGATTATTGTTCAGAAATATAAAGATTCCCATTGAAAAGGCCCGTGCATCTTTGTGAAGATTAAGAAGCTGCTCTGTAGCCGCGATTTGAGCCTAGATCTGAGAACTCGTATGCTCAAATGTTATGTATACCCAGTCCTTTTGTATGGTATGGAAGCTTGGACCCTCAACGAGCTTTGCGAGCGGAAACTGGAGGCCTTCGAGATGTAGACATACCGTAGGATGTTGAGAATACCATGGACAGAACATGTAACCAACGTGGAGGTTCTGAGAAGAATGAGGAAGGGCTTAGAGATCCTCAAGGAAGTGAAAAAAAGAAAATTGCAATATCTCGGCCACATCATGAGAGGTCCAAGGTATAAGATTTTGCAACTCATAATCCAGGGAAAAATTGTAGGAAAAAGATATGTTGGAAGGAGAAGAATTTAGCTCAGAAACCTGCGAAAATGGTTTAATGTCACGTCATCTGACCTATTTAGGGCCGCAGCTTCCAAGGTCAAAATAGCAATGATGATAGCCAACCTCCGATATGGAGACGGTACATAAAGAAGAAGAAGATAAATGAATTAGTGATTGAACGTAGGTAAAATTATTATACCTACATATTATTATGTAACTTAAAAAAAAGAGGGATAACGGATGGGAAAAGGTAAATAAATAAAAAGTCAAAAATAGAAATTTATTGGCTTTTAAATAAAATTAAATTTCTAGTAGTGAGATAACAGTTGCAAATACATTTAATTAATAAAACCTTGTGATTTTCTAATGGAGTTAAATCATGGTTGATCATATTTTCAAAAATACTGTTTCCAATGGAATAATTTAATACCTTTACTGTTAACATATCCTTATTAATTTTTCTGTTGCTGTTTTGCCTCTCTGCGTAAAAAACATTTCTGTTCTTATACAAATTTCAAGTACCTCAAAACTTGGAAAACTTAAACCTCCCTAGTTTTAAAATTAATTAAAGAATTAAAGAAGTCCTTCTTATCGCCGTAGACTTGTGACAAACAGTGCTCACATTGCAGTTTTCGTCCCAGTTTAAATGAAACAAAACCTGCAATGTAAGTTATTACCTCTAAACAGTAAGGCGATAAGGACAAGGACTCATAATCAAGAGCATAGCTATGCTCATCTAGGAAATTGGAGGCCAGTTATGGAGTTGTGCGGCACTTTCTATACTTTCTAACCAAAATTTACTTTTCTTCAAATCAATACCGTCGAAAAATGGAATGGATTTCGAAAAATCAGGCATAATATTATAATTTGGAATATCCCGTTGTTGATTTTGACGGTCGTTCATCATTTGCAGTATAATGGCATTTTGTTGGATTATAACCTGCATCGTATCTAATACAGTATTTAAATTCACAGGCTCACCCTATCGTGTCTGTGTATTATTACTAATAGGCTATTATTACTAAAATTTTTCAAAATTTGATTCCAGTACAGGATTTGGGCTAATTTCACTATCCTGTTCACTCATACTTCTCATAAAAGAACGTCGGACGATTATCTCACTTCTGAATTTGTTATCTCTTTTACAAAATTCCTTTTGAAATAAATTCAATTTAAATATTTAAACTTCTGACGACTTTATTACTAAAACGTCAATATAATATTATCATCTGTAAACAAACAATCTACTGTTATAGAGATCGATTGTTATATATCTCTAACAACTGTTAACATATCCTTATTAATTTTTCTGGTGCTGTTTTGCTCTCTACGTAAAAACATTTCTGTTTTTTTTTTTAATTTCAAGTACCTCAAAACTTGGAAAACTTAAACCTCCCCTAGTTTTAAAATTAATTAAAGAATTAAAGAAGTCCTTTTGACAAACAATGCTCACATTGCAGTTTTCGTCCGAGTTTAAATGAAACAAAACCTGCAATGTAAGTTATTACCTCTAAACAGTAAGGCGATAAGAACAAGGACTCTTAATCAAGGACTCATAATCATAGCTATGCTCATCTAGGAAATTGCCTAGAGTGGTATCTAGCTCAGTATCATTAACATTTTCTGAACGATTTGCTATGGATTCGTTAATAATTTGTTCAGGAGGTTTGTTTTTTGAACTTACGTTTAGTATGTTAATATCTTCAAGGGGGAAACAACTTCCAGCACCACCTTCTATAATTTCTGAATGTATTAAAAAAAAATTTGTATGCTGCTGTAAACTGCCTACAAGTGGGGTTATTATTGTATCCGCCTTGAGATCGGACTGTTCCAAAAAACAACTCAAGATGGTCTTGATTAAGTTTATAGATGGAATAAATTTTAAATATTCTTTCACAATGTATTCATCATATATACCTAACAAAGCTTTGAGCCCCATTAATAAGCCCACAAAGCCAGATCTTCTTTGAGAATCGAGGACAGGAGTCCCATCAATTAAATTTAAATTATTTATATAATGATCAAATTCATTACTAAATTGTCTAATTTTATTAATATTTTTTTCACATGCAGCCTGTGTATCAAAATCTGAAATTTTATGTGAATTCAAAATATCGAAGGCATTATTAATTAATAAAATAAATTTAACTGTTGGACCACAATTAGCAAATTCTTCAATATGTAGTTTATCTCTACAATAAAGTAATGCGTCTGACACTGAACGGTTTAGCAATTGAGTGGCCAATTTAACTTTCATTTTTTGTTTAAAAAATTATATGGCTCCTCCTAAGTTTGGTTTCAAGGTGCAATCCTTTTTCCTGTAACGTATTTAACTGAACAACAAACTCAAAGTTAATTAATGCATCATCAACATCTATAAACGTTTTCTTTTCACCAAAACACTTTCGAATCAGTTTTGTCATGTGGACTGGATCGGGTATTAAAAAGTATTTACTATTTTCAAAAGTAAAATCAGCCTTAGCGTTAGTTTTAATAAAATGGCAATTTAACAAATTACACATGCTAAAGTTAGTCGCACAACCATCAAAAGTTATATTACTTACAATAATTCCAACGTCTTTTAAAAGGGTAAGCGCCTGCTTAACCAGTGATGTTTTTTTGCTGGCTAGAATTAATCCCTGCAATAAAAAAGTAACCGATTGGGAGTTTCCATGGTTCATTTATGCAAACTATCATGAACACCAAAGCCTCCATAGCTAATTCCATAGAGTTCCCATGCAAACCACTACCACAATTTACATAGCCATAATATTCATGTGCTTTTGTGGTAAACCCTGACTTCGCATTTATTGACGAATACCATTTAGCCAATGTTTTTGGATGGGGTTAGCAATTTTCAAATTTTTGCCGAACATAGTTATACGCTTTCGGAGAGAAAAAATGCAAAATTACTGCAAAAGCTCTTACCGAATGTTCATAAGATTTTTTTACACTATTATTCTGCGTTTTATTTAAAAGTCTTTGAAACATCTTATTTTGTCCAAAATGTTCCAGAATAACATTTTCATGCTCTTCTAACAAAAAGTTCTTTTCTTTTAATACCTTTGTCATTACCTTTTGTTTAGTGACGAACTTCACCGGTATTTTCTCTTGTTGACTAATGATAATGAATAAAACTAACTTTCTAAATATGGACTGTATTTACTAATTGAGGAACTTGTACATTCAACATGGACGCTTAGCTCGGCGGCTGGTGTCGATTCGTATCGCGTAGGAATATAGTGCGCGCGTCAACTGTTCCAACGTTGCCACTGTTGCCACGTATTTTTAAATCCGACCATAACCGCCGGCCTTGAAAGATTAACTTTCAAAACATAAACTACTACAACTAATGGTTTTACAAACAACATATCAATTAACACTAGATATGTAAACATCTTAAATATTGTATAAAAATATATATAGCTAAATTGGAGCGAACATAATAAGATAATTAATTAAGCCTCTGTTGGTTCGCACTAAGCCTATGAGATGGTTTTAGAAGGGTCGACCTCGATTGGAAGAGCGCATAACTTTTGTACCGACCTCTTTATCACTCCGGCACTAGTACGCACACTAACAACTCGCACTAATCCATCCTGTCCTGGGTGAAGCTCGACGATCCGTCCAAGCTTCCAATTCAGCGGTGCGGCGTTTTCTTCCCTCAGAATGACCATAGTGCCCACTTCCAAGTTCTGACAGGACTTCTTCCACTTCATACGTTGCTGTAGAACCGCTAGATACTCTGATGACCACCTTGACCAAAACTGCTGGTACATCTTTTGAATCAAATGGTATTGATCTAGACGATTTGACAACTCTTCTTTCACACATCGTTGTGGGAGTGCGTTTAATGCGTCTCCGATGAGGAAATGACCAGGCGTAAGAGCAAGGAAGTCATTTGGATTAGAGGATAGAGGGGTTAGGGGTCGGGAATTTAGAACCGCCTCTATCTGTGTAAGCACGGTGCTCATGTCTTCAAAAGTTAAAATTGTATTACCTATAACCCGCGCTATATGATGTTTTGCTGATTTAATAGCGGATTCCCAGAGACCTCCGTGATGAGGTGATCGAGGAGGAATATACCGCCAGTCAATGTGGGATTGCTGACAAAATTTATAAAATTCTTTATCTTGTCCCACGGATTTTAAAAAGTTTTCTACTTTTTTCAGCTCGTTATTCGCCCCAACAAAATTAGTTGCATTGTCGGAATACATTCGAGTACATATACCTCGTCTTGACACAAACCTTTTTAGACAATTTAAAAATGAACTACTGCTTAAATCGCCTGCGAGCTCTATATGCACTGCCTTGGTCGACAAGCATACGAATAAGCACATATAACTCTTTATAATAGCGCGATTTCGTAGTTTACCGTCTTTTAGATTGAACGGACCTGCAAAATCGACGCCTGAAACTAGAAAAGGTCTACTAGACCTTACTCGGTCTTCTGGCAGATCAGCCATTTTTTGCTTAATACTGCCAGGCTTGACTCGAAAGCAGGTTACGCATCTCGCTAACATACTTCGAACCACACGTCTTCCGTTTATCGGCCAGTAACGCTGTCGTAAAGAGGCTAAAATTAGTTAGCCCTGCGTGTAATTGTTTGTGATGCTGATCGAATACTATCAGTCCAGTCATCGACGTCTTTGAGAGGTAAAAGTATGGAAATTTGGACATCGTACGCTCTCTGTTGGAATTATGAAGTTCCCACCCACGCGCAAAATACCCGCTGCATCGATAAAGGGATCAAGTGACCCAAGCGTACTTTTCGTTTTGGTAAATCGTTATCTATGTATAGCTAGTATTTCGTCTTTGAACCTTGGGCTTGCATAACCTTTATCAAAACAATGCTTCGTCAAATTCTGTATTTGATATGTCACCAAAATTCCTGTTACCTACCGTACACCTGGAGTTTTTACTAAATCTAAAGCATAATGCTACAATCCGAACTAATTTATATAATGAAGAATACCGTGTAAAAATTTCAGAATCGATAAGTACGCTGGTAAAAGTAAACTTAACATTTCGTTGTTCAGGAATAGAACTTGTATACATATTATGCTCAGTTTTTGGCCATTTGTCTAGATTATCTCTAAGCCATGGAGGTCCTAACCACCACAAATCTAAGTTTTTAAGCAATATAGGTTGTGTGCCTCTCGATATGATGTCAGCTGGATTGTCGGCAGATTCAACGTGTTTCCAATAATAACCTGTAGTGAGTTCTTGTATCTCTGCGACTCTATTAGCCACGAAAACCTTCCACCTACTTGGCTGTTCCGCAATCCACCCCAGCACAATTGTAGAGTCTGTCCACAAATATATATCATCAGGACTTATATCTAACGCAGCAATAACCTTTTTTGTTAAACGAGCTAATATCACAGCTCCGCATAGTTCCAAACGCGGTAAACTAATCTGCTTTATCGGAGCTACACGAGACTTGGCACAAATCAGACGTACTAGAATGTTACCAGCTGCATTAATGGAACGAAGATACAAACAGGCACCATAAGCTTGCTCACTGGCATCAGAAAACCCATGAATCTCAAATCTAACAGCATCTAATATTGCAATTTGCCTGGGAATCCTGATTTCATTAAGACATGCAAATTGCTTATAAAATTCATTCCATGTTGTAGCCAAATCTATCGGAATTGTTTCGTCCTTAAGTAATTTCAACTGCCAAAGTCTTTGTAGCAAAATCTTTGTTCTTATGATGACAGGACTCAGTAAGCCTAACGGATCAAATATTTGTGATGTTATCGACAATATCACACGCTTTGTTACATCAGCATAATTCATAAATCGTTTCTCCACTACATATTGCAACGCATCAGAATTTGCTCTCCAAAATATTCCCAATGTTTTATTGCATTCATTGTCTGCTATAATATACCCCATATTATCTGCTTTTTCAAAGGGAAGACCATCCAGTACTTCTCTATAGTTGGAAGACCATTTTCGTAATGGAAACCCGTATTTACTAAGTTCTTCATAAATGCATTTTGCTATCTCTATAGCCTTTTCAACTGACTCTACACTTAAGATTAAGTCATCTACATAAAACTGTTTTCTTATTATCTTGCTTATCTCTGGTAATCTATCTTCAATATCTAAGGCAATCTGCACGAGGCATCTAGTCGCTAAAAAGGCCGCAGGTGCAGTACCATACGTTAATGTATTTAGTCTATAATGTTCAAGCTCTGAATCAGAATCCGCGCGCCACAATATTCTTTGTAAGTCACGCTGCTGAACATCAACATTCACCTGTCGGTACATTTTTGTAATATCTGCTGTCAATACTACACTATGTTGTCGAAATCTAATCAAGATATCAAACAGATCATCTTGAATACATGGCCCAACCATCAATACATCATTTAATGAAAAATTGCTAGAGGTTTTTGAACTAGCATCAAACACCACACGTAGCTTTGTAGTAGTACTACCTTCATTTATGACACCGTGATGTGGTAAATAGCATATATTATTTAGAGAATCATTCTGAATCTCAATTTTACTCATGTGTCCCAAATCGATATATTCTTGAATAAATGCTGAATATTCTTCTTTGAGGACTGCATTTTTCGCAAACTTCTTCTCTAAAGAGTAAAAATCTACTTAAAGTATTTTCAAGAATTACCTAACTTGCTGCTATTATCTTTCAGCGGCAAAGCACAAAATCTACCTGTGAACAGTCCTGAGTGACTCCCTATCTATAAAGTGCTCGCAATCTGATTCCTCTTTGAATAATGCGATGTGCTACTCTCGATATGCCAAAATTCTCCAATTGTTCTTGCACATCTTGAGGCTAACAAATGAAACTACTGAGCAGCTGTGCTTGATTTATCATGAATCAAACGTCCCTTGATATATCCAACCGAAAACGCTTTTTTTGTATCAGCGGTTTCCATTACCCAACCTAATTTGCCCTACACAGAGTAAGTTAAAAATAAGTCAGCCCCCTATTAAACATCTATTTTTGCCGACCTGTTAAACTCTGGGTCCGCTAATTTTAAATTAGACGTATATTTATAGCGGACGCCTCAAAAGATTGTACCGGAATATATGTGATATTTTTAGAACCAGAAAAGAAGTTGCTGTAAAGTTATTATAACATGATTTGATATGATTCTGTTTGACTGTCGATTTTGCAAGCATTTGATTAACTCCTGAAATAGGTATATCTATTGTATTTGTCTTTAATTTTAGTTTTCTTACCAACTCAATTAGAAATAAAATTCATTTGAGAGCCACTGTCTAACAACGCTCTGCACTTACATAGTTATTTTATTATCTTTATGTAAATAAGCGCAGACAAAATAGTTTGATTCAGCCTCTTTTTGGATTACTTGCAAGAAGTTTTCGGCAGCGAACTGCTCCTCTGTTGCTTCCCACCCCTGTCTACACACGCATGTACCAAACTGCTTCTTCCGGTTTGTTTTTTCTCCCTGACTCTATATTTCCTTAGACTCCACCAACTCGTCCGTTCCCAAAATTTTGATTTATTTGCTTCTTCTAGATGTAATAAGCTATTATGCCGACCCCCGACACCTTTACAACCACTTCTGCCCGACATCGCCTGCTGTATGACTAGATCGTAAACAATTGAAACAGAGTTTAAGTTTTTAATTTCCCCGAGTCTCCGAAACCGAAAGTGCTAACAATTTTTGACAAAAGTATACAAAGTGTGATCCCTTGCAAAACTCGCACTTTTACATTGGATCCTCCTACCGCCGCGCGTAAGCCCCACGAATTTTGACTACCGCTATAACCTTGTTTAATAGTCCCCTTGTATTACTCTCAACAGTTTCTAAAATATGACATTTACGTTTAAAAATTAATAAAATTAGATAGTTGTGGAACACCTTAAAATCTGATATGCTTTTTGTTCTATTCCTTTTTTGTTTCTATATCTAATTTCAGCTCATTAGAAAAATAAGCACTCATCCCATGTGTCTACTGGTCTAATATTTTCAGGGCCCGAATGTGCTTTTCAATAGAATCACTTAAATTTAGTAACTGGGAAGATTCTCTACTTACAATCGGCATATCCAATTGTGGCTTAATATGGTTCTTTAATTACAGGTTTATTTTTGAAATCGTTTTTTCATTAAGTCTAAAGTTACTGTAGTTGTCATTTGTTATTTCCAGACAATCCAGGCTTGGCCTCGCCTTCCAGGCAATCCAATAAGTAATAAAATTTTGTATGTTATCCAAACATGGATTATTGTGAACTAGCGTCTGAAACCCCGCCAAAAACTGCAACCACTTCAAAATCACCCCCTAAATTTAGTAAACCTAAGCTGGCAGCTTAGCCCCCAGCCCACTATGAACGAGTTGTTATCTATCCCACTACTACCCCCGACTATTTTGAATTAATGATGATTAGTTAAACTCTGATTGTGCTCTGCCTTAATTGATATTGCGAATGTGCCCCTTGGCCGTAGCCAACACAATAAATGCTTTATTGTTAAAATTTTTTCAATTTGTGGACAAAGGTAAACCAAACATAGTAAAAAAAAACAAGGTACAATAAACAACAAACAAAGATAATACAAAACATTATAAATAATATTGTCGTCTTATTGTTAAAATAAACATATATAAATGTTTACAATGTCAAAGAACAAAAAATTAAAAATAATATTCAAAATATTTAGCCAGTTTATAAGAAAATATCAATGACCCTAAATAAATTAATTTCTCGATGTCATTAGTAAATATAGCAATAGCAAACATTAGACCAGTGTTTTCAAGATCAAATTCGATTTTCAATTCAAATATAATTCATTAACGGCGTAGAAAGCCTTGTCTAGTAAATAAGAGTTCAATGCTTTGCGAAATGAAAAAAATGATGTTATGGATTACTGCTGGCAGATTGCATTTTTTTTCTGAGTTGTATAATATGAACTTTTAACTAACTCTGAGCGTGGGGGTAGATAAAGATCTTGCCCGCGTTCCTGAGTGGATATGTGATGGCTTTTTGAGAAGCTGATACATGTTACGTATTAGGCAAACGGATTCAAATATAACAAGGAAGGAAGAGTCAATATTTTACCTCTCTAAAAGCCCCGGCAATGGTTCTGCTGTTTAGTCCCAGTGAATATCGAACAGCTTCCTTCTGGAGCTTGAAAATGTGGTCAAATCTGAGCCGCACAACACGCACCCCAGAATGGAAGGGCATACCTGAGGTGCGACTCAAAAGTGCATAATAAACAGTTCTAGCCACTGACAAGATAAGCTCCCCTAGAAACAGACCTTAATGCAAAACAGGCAGCCTAATTTTTTCGACAAGCTTCGATATGTATGTCCCATTTCAGAGAATTGTCCAAACAAGCCCTAAGAATTTTACGGATTTTACGACGTCAATGGTGGTGTTGTCAAGTACAAAAGGCTGCAACGAGTTTTTATAATGACAAAGCCTTAGTTTTGTGAAATGTTGAGACTCAGAGGCCTGAATCGCACCAAGATTATGATTAAGTTATTTGATATAACCTATGAAGTGCCGCGATGTCCTTGTTGCTCCAAGTGAAGCTAGTGTCGTCCTGCAAAAGACATATTTTGCCACTGATGTTTATGTTAGCAATGTCGTTAATAAAAAAGAAGAAACGCAATAGGGCCAAGTAATTGAGCCTTGTGGTACTCCACATTCTATTGGCTTGCTAGAAGACAACGTATCCACCGTCAGGCTGACTTCTCAGTTGCTCAGATACGTACTCTTAAACCATCTGAGATGATCCCCTGAACCCATAGTGCTGCAGTTTATTAATTAGGATCTTAAGATTTGCTACCAATCGAACGCCTTAGAAAATCACAGAAATGTTGTTGTAGAATGATGTTTAGGCTGAGTAAACTTTATTAAGGAGGGAAAACATAGCGTCATTTGTGGACTTGTTGCTCAGAAATCCAAATTGATATTCAGTAAGTATTTGTACTTAAACAGAAAAGATACCAGCCTGCTTTTAACCAACCTTTCTATGATCTTAGATAGCGTTGAAGGAGTGCACTCATGATAGTTAGAAGCTTCATCTTGTCTCCCTCCTTGCAGTGGAATGATTATTGCCGTCTTAAGACATTTTGGAAAAAAATACCATTTGGAACGACATGTTTATTAAAGCTGTTAGGTGATCAGAGTGCTTCTGGCAGATCTGAAAAACATTTTTAGTTAGCCCGTCGGTCCTAGAAGAGGATTTGGTTTTGATGGTATTAATTGTACTGCGAAGCTCTTTCAAGAACCAAAAAGAACTGTGTAAGTTTACATTTAGAGAGATAAGAAAGTGGATCATGAGGAGGACACATATGGTATTAGTTAAGTTTTCGCTACATTTACAAGCAATTGCTAAGGGTTCTCAGGCAAGGTAGAGATATTGCTAGACGAAGAAGCTTTGTTTCTCAACTCATCTACAAATAGACCATGTTTCCTTAGCAACATTACTAGAAATTGACTATTCTCCTATTATAATAAAGGTCCTTAGTGGCTCTATAGTCTTATGATAAATTTTTCTGTATAGTTTTACGTAATTGTGGAAGAAGAGACTCTCTGAGAATTTTTTTTAAGTGAGATAATGAACGCATGTTTTTAGAAGATATGCGTAGACCTTTAGTGGTCCAAGGTTTATTATGCTTATTTTTATAGGCCTAAGAGGAAAGGATTTGAACGCTAGACTGGTTAATGTTTTTACGAAATAGAAAATTCGGTGTCGACATCATAAGAGCTAGCATCCCAGTTGGTTGTTTTACATAAGTGGCCGAACTTTACATTCTTTCTGAAAATACGGCATAATTTACGAGGGGCATTTTTGATTTTGGACTTTATCGAAAATTCAGTTAAAACTGCTTCATGATCAGAGAGACCCGAGCTAAAGACGTTGCAGGCGATGGAGTTAGATCAAAAGATGACACAACATAGTCTAGGTACTAGAACTGGTATTGGATATTCTGGTAGGTGAGCCTACATGGCCATCTAAAGAATCAAAATGGACTGAAGAAACCCTGAGCAGCACATACACTAAAGAAAGTCAATATTAAGATCACCACACAAAATTAATTTGCTTTTCAAGGGCAGGGACTCAAGCAAGCTTAGTAGATTATGACAGAATAATTGCACGTCAGAGTCAGGTGTTCTATAAATACAAATAATGTAAAGGTCATAAGCATTATGGTGGGACAATGGAAAATTGAATGTTTTCAGATAACAAATCATTGTACCTAGTTACCCTGGAAAGTCGTTGTTTAAAGACACATCATAGTACCTCCATGAGAAAAATACCATCAAATTGGCTACTGTGGTATAATTTTTAATAAACACAGGCTCATCAAAAATTCAACCAGTGCTCAGTTATGGCAATGATATCTGGAAATTCAAGCCCTTCTAGTAAAAGATATAATTCATTCTTATGTCTTAAGGACTGAATATTAATAAGGAAATTCCAGACCAAGCTTGCTATCGCTTAATTTTTCAGAGGGTGCTTGATCCTCTGTTCGCGTCAATCATCCAAAAAATTTTTACTCTTATTTGGGGAACCACTGAATAATATTTGCCATGACTTTCCCTAATTTTTTGAAGCTCTTGGTGAAGGCCTGCAGAAAAGAATGACCTGAAAGCTGAAAGATCTGCATCAACTTCAGTTGAACCAATACCATAGGCGTTGTGGAAGCGGTAGTACAACTTACGCAAGGACTCCAGGTCACTAGGTAGCCCTTCTGATGCAAGCATCAATTTGATGCTGGTACTAGTGTGTCTTTGTGTCTTGTGTCCTAACTGCTTATATTCGTTTAAAAAATCCGCGTATTGTTGTTGTAAATCGGGGTTTTTTGCTAAACGTCGTTCTAAAGATAATAAACAATTTACGGCAATAGAATCACCCACGTTAAATAATTTTCTTTGTCGAAGTTTTACGATGAATCGCCTGTCGGAATCGGATTTTGTAATTTTCCCGAAAATGTTTTTCGCATTCTAATTCTTCGTTACTTAATTTATTTTGTTTATTTCAATATTTCTATTTGCCAAAATTGCTGGAACGTTATTATGCAACATTTTATCGCGTTCTGGTTTAAAGTTAAAAACAATTAGTATTTGCGTTAGTGCGGTGATTTGTCGTTACTTTATGTAAATCTAAAGGTCCTACAAGAACCCAAACTGAATTTGGTGTTCTGTAAAATCGGCGCGTTGTCTCCGAGTATTTTTCGCCACCCAAACAACGGAAAAATATTTCGGTTCCTATTAAATGTCTATAGGCTCTGAATTAAAAAATCAGGATCGGCCAACGTAATATTTGGTGGGCATATTTATTAAAGTAGGATCGAAAGAAACTTGGTGGCAATTTTGTAGTAATTGACTGATTACCAAGACCAATTTTAGCCTGAAACGCATCATTTAACGATCTTATAGTTGTTTTAATTTCTTAGACGATACCCTACAGGACGCGTTATTTATACCTCATAACCGGCATATTTATTTTGTTGCGTGGTAAATTTACTTATTGCAAAGTTCTTCCGAACAAAAGTTTGACTGACTAGCGGAGTCTAATAACGCGCGACACTTACCGTCCTGCCGTTTGAATCTTAAAATATTTGTGTATGCTGTAGCAGCAAAAATCTGCTCGTCGTTTTCACCTTCCTTGCTAGCAGCTGATGCCGGCGGGACTATACGGAGCCGCCTGCATTTCACCGGAATTCGCTTGGCGCGTTACGTAGCGAGCCCTTGTCAGCACTGTTGCCGGGTTGAGCACGTATGTCAGCAGTTTGCTTTCGCATTCCTGTGTACCCTAAAAATTATTGGAAGCGGGAATTTGCAATTTGCGGTGTTATCGTCGTTCATAAGAGTTACAGCGCAAACGTATTATTATTATTTTGCGGATTTCGATTTGTATTATTATCGGAATTACGATTAGTGGATTGATTCGAATTATAATTATAGTCGTAATATTGAGTTGTGCTTTTCGATTGCAAACCTTTACAGGTTTTACTTGTACATTCGTTGAGTTATGCCCGGTTTTCAAGCAGTTCGTACATATTCCAAACGTTTTAATTCGTACCTACTTTTTAACGCAACGCGAGTAGTTTCGGACATTTGTACGTAAATGTGAAGTTTTGGCAAACGAACACTGCCGACATCGTAAAATTGTAACGGTTGTTCTTGCCCTTGATTTAAAGGAATATTTGCGCTGAATGCAAGCAACTCCAATGATTGGGCACTGAGCTTCCGCGATTTTGGGGGTTTCTTTCGTGTGTATTTTTTCGTACATGCTTTGATTTTTATTGTCGATAGTTTCGAGCACTGACATTTGTTTTTAAGAACGATATAAAAGTCTTCGAAGGTAGGAGAATCTTGCTTGTTAAAATTTATCTTTTCGTATTGTTGTTCAATTTTGCGCAATTAGATAGTAATGTATCCCAGTGATCTACCGGTTGTAGACTGGTTAAAGCTCAGAGATTTCGCACGACGTTATCGATAAGTTTACGTAAATTTGGATATGCTTCTTTCGTGATGCTCGGCATTTCGGAATAAATTTTGACGGCCGGATTAACACTCGCTTATTTTCATATCTTTCTGCGTAATAACTTAATAGCTTCGTTATAATTAGATTCGCAAATTTCTAAAGAATGTAATACTTGTGCTGCTTCCCCTTGAAGGCAGGATTGCAGATAATAGAACTTTCTTTGTATTTTTGTCAGTTCAGACTTGTCAACCAGCGCTTGAAAGATCTCAAAAAAAGGCAACCAGTTTTCGTACGTTCCGCTAAAATGTGGCAACGAAATAGACTGTACTTAGCGCTGTTACTACTATTGGGCACGAAGACGGTAAACTCGCGGGTATGCTTGTATTTAAATTTGAATGCACGTCACGATCATGCTGTTCTATTAAATCGTTCGCCAAAGCGGCTGCGTTGAAATATCTGTCTTCAAACAATATTCTCTCTGGTTCCTGGGAGAGGTACCACCTTCAATTTGGTTTGAATAGCTTCAAACTCTGCCCAAGCTGTGTCAGTGTTCGCTTTTCTTACTTTTAAAACCGATATATTACTTTATCGCTGACAAAATTATTAAAGCGTGTTAACGTGGCTTTAATTGGCCCTACGATATACCAATCTTTTTTGATCTCGACTGCCTTCGTGGCGGCATCTTTGGGCTGCTGTATTTTCAGAAGTCGTTCATTTTTTTTTAAATTTTAATTTTTTGAATTTTATCAAATTTAATTTTCGTTATAAAAAACTACATAAATTGCAAAATCTCACTTAAAAATCCACGCCCAAATAAACACTACGAACCCAAATTTTAGCATGCAGATGGGTATATTTATAAGCGGCAAAACTAAGCAGGGATTACTACGGTTAGGATTTATTAAATGAAAGGAAACGACCTGTTAATTTCTGGACTCCTTGCTGCTTGCTGTTCGGCTTGGCAACGTTGTGGCTCTTCCAACAAGGAACAATGGCGCTCGTCTTGACCGGCGAACTTTACGCGTTTACGATTTGTTTACGATCACTTTTCCGATTAATCCGGCTCGAAGGACCAAAATATTTTGTTCAAAGATTATTAGTGGACTGTAATAGGTATGAGTTTAAAGAGGTTTTGAACTTTTCACACTTTTATTTATTATTTTTCAGCGGCGATCGGGCGGCCTTGTGTCTTACTTGAGTTTTGTCTATAAACTGAAACTTTAGTCAGCTGAGCGCGGTTGCCTAATTGCTTGATTGTCTGGTAGATGTCGTTAAATCAATTTAAAATAATTTACAATAAAAATATAGAAACTAGACACTTTGCTTTCAGAGCCTGCAACAACAAAATATTCAGGCTGTCTCATGTAAATAGTTTCGCTCAAGACACAGTTGAGAAAAGCTGTCTGCACATCTAAGTAGTATATTTTTAAATCTAAATTTACAGCCAGCCCTACTAACATTCTGAGAGTTGAATGGCGTACGACAGGTGCAAAAGTATCCGTTTAGTCAATGCCCGCAACCTGAGTAAAGCCTCTAGCAACTAGTCTAGCTGTATGCCTAACACTTTCACTATCACTACACTTCTTTACCTTAAACACTCATTTGCAGTCAACCACAGGTCCGTTCTCGGGTAGGTCAACTAGGTGCCACGTCTCGTTCTCTTCAAATGACCTCATTTCCTCCTCCATGACCTTCCTCCATTGCTCAGCATCAGGCCTGGACAAGGCCTCAGGAACTGTCAACGGTACTGCCTCGAGACTGAAAGACCCTTCCTCTGACTGAGACGGACACAAATGTCACGTAGTCTTCCATCTGCCTCGGCTCCCTGCCTCGTTCTGACCTCCTCAACATGTCGGGCTCTTGGTTGCGCTATACACAAGGAGCCACGAAATCCTCATCACTGGTACTCTCCTCGGTTAAGGTTTCATCTAAAGAAAAACACTCATTAGAACATTGACTTTGATCAAAACTTGATGTGGTCCTCTTTCGAGATGCTTTTACTGACAACTACATCTCGACTGGTGAAAATTTCATTGGTTGCTGGGTCGTATAGTCGATAGCCCTTGATTTGCCCATCATAACCAACCAAGTAAGCCTTCCGAGCCTTCTTGTCCCACTTGACTCTCTTCTCCTTAGGAACTTGTACAATGGCTGGGCTACCAAACACTCTTAAGTGTTCGACATTTGGCTTCCTATCGTACCACATTTCATATGGAGTAACTTCGAATGCTGACGTTGATGAACGGTTCTTCAGGTAGACTGCTGTGTTGACTGCCTCGGCCCACAATTTCTTGTCGAACTTTGCCTCAAACAGCAAACATCTGGCCGTCTCCACAATGGCACGGTTCATCCGCTCGATGAAGCCATTTTGTTGTGGAATATAGGGGTTCGTTTGCTGATGCAGAATGTCGTTGTCTCTAAAAAACTTGTTAAAAGATCGGTTATCGAATTCAGTACCTTGATATGTACGGAATGTCTTGATCCTATGGCTTTTATGATTTTCCACAAAATTCTTGGATTCCACGAATTTCTCAAAAGCCTGATCTTTGCTTCTCAAGAAGTAAACGAACAGCATTCTTGTAAAGCCATCCTGCAAAAGTATAAAATACCTTGCACCTCCAAGCGAGCCAACCTCCATCGGTCCACACAGGTCTGCATGGATGACCTCCAAAAGTGAGACGGCCCTACTGCCCTTTCCAAAGGGCAATCTGGTTTGCCTGCCCTCACAACAGACCTCGCCCATGTTGTCCCTCACCAAGGCACCCTTGCATTGAAAACCATCGACAAGTCCGTTCTTCAGTTTGTTTAAATCTCCATAGTTTAGGTTTCCAAACCGTCTATGCCAGGTTTCTCCCGAAACAGCCAATCCTGCCACCACACTCCACCATCCTGCCACCTCCACTTGGACCTGAACATTCAGTTTGTAAACATTGTCTACAAGGTTTCCAGTAACAATGACTTGTTCACTTGAGTCTATGATGTCACAACCCGTTTTATGAAAGTACACTCTGTTACCGGTTTTAATGAGTTCACTAACTGACGACAAGTTTGTCATCAAACCACGAACGTAAAGTACATCACTTATTGTGCCCGAATAATTCACATTGTTTAACAATGTTATCAATGCCCCCCGCACATTCCACGATAAGTTTTTCGTTGTTCGCCACTGTAATGTCTTTAACCTTAAAATCACTGCTAATGTTTTTGAGCCAATCCTTGCGCCCGGTCAAATGAGAACTTGAGCCCGAATCCACATACCAGTCTGTCTGACTGAATTGTCCACTTACGAAAACTGCATTAAGAGCAATGGTGACCCTAATGCCCTCATCTCCCTTTTTCTTTCCAAGTTCTGGTCATTGATTTCGATAATGGCCCACGTTTTGACATTTAAAACAGGTGACATTTACTTCCTTGCCCTGCCCCCTATCTGACGTTGGCGTATGTCCCCTGTCACTTCTGTCAATTGACGTCCTGCCCTTGTTGCCAGCTCTATTTCTTCCAAAAGAACAACCTGCTACAAATGCCCCAACTGAGTGACTGTCAACGCCACCTATGTGCATATCAAGCAGCCTTGACTTGATGGAGTCCGCTGTGATATCGATGCCTACGTGCTCGATGGCGATCACCATGGGTTCAAACTTGTCTGTTAAGCCCGCCAACATGAGGCTTCCAACAAATTTGGATCTGGGACAATTTGAATCCGAATGGTTGATATAGGCCTCCATCGACTCACAGTTATCCAATCATATGGAAATAAGCTTACGCCTGTTGCGTAAGACCAAACCAAACCAAGCTAATCTTGCGGGCAACTCCAGTGTCCTCGTAGAGCTTCTTTAGGGTATTCCACACTTCCGCGGCCGATTTTCATTCTTTCACCTGAATAAATAGCGACGAATCTAAAGTTAATACTAATTTTGCTTTCGCCTTGTTGATCTGTACGGTGTCCTGCTCGGTTCCGTCAAGGCACTTCGACATCCCTTCTAGAACGAATACGTTTTCGATCGCGAAAGCCCAATCCACGTAGTTTTCCCGCCTCAAAAGCTTCGGAACACTTGTTAAATAGTTCACGGCCATAATGCACCCGAAGGAATACTAACATTCGCGTTAAATTAACGATTAAACTATCCTGGGCCCATAACCTCTTGGAATTTAATAGATGTAGGTAAATAAAACACGATGCTTCGAGATCTGCACTACGACTTACTTTTATTTAAATAAAATGAAATAAAAAGAACAAAGTAAAGATCACACTAATAAAGAATAAGTGGCAACCTTTGCAATAGATGGCGCCACATACAAACAAAAGTGTAAATTACACTATGCGAAATATTAAAATATTAAAACGATTGTTGAACGATTTTCAGTAACAGTCAACAATAATGATAATCAATATCCAAGTTTTTAACCCAAACAGTCAAAACACAAACCCTAAGTTACGCCTATGGTCCTAGGCAAGCTTTGTCATTTGTAGGTTAGGTTAACCTTTTTATAAAGCAGTTAAATAAAATAAGCTTTTCTCGGCTTAAAAATTCTTACCTGTGAAATGTAACACCCAATATCTTTATGTTTTGGTGTCAGGGAATAGCCACAAGCGGCACAGCTAACCATATTTTCGTTGCAAGATATCAAAATCTTTCGAGTCTTTGAATCAACTATTTATTTAGCTATTGTAGACTGTATTTTGATTAGATAGAAAGTTTTCATCATCAAAGCACACAAAATCACTCTTATCGCAATGATATTAGTTGTTCTTGTCACTCAAAACTATTAAAATCACTAAATTTGAAAAGGAACACTGCAAGTTGGCGAACCGGGCGACCAAAAATGACAACAGAATGAATCATACTCGGAGGACCAATATGGCCGATTTTGTCTCGCGCCTACTTAAAGGCGGAATTACATTACTATTACGTCACGTGAATTTACGTAAACACACATGAGCAGTACATTTGATGAGACCGATGTTTTGCATTTATTTTATTAATCAACACATCAAGGGTGAACACATTATTGTCACTTGGGGGATTCATGTGAAATTACGTGATATTGCGAGTTGTTTCGCGCTCAAATATTCCGTTTTAACATCAATTTCGTGAGGCGTGAAAACGTGAGGGTTGGAAAATGGTAGAAATTCTAATAGAAAAAGTGCGTTTACACGAAGTGCTTTACAATAACCGATCAACAAATTACTCTCTTTTCAAATTAATGTCATGAACCCGTTGCCTAGTTTTAATATTATCAGCAACCACAAGTAAACCACATGCGTTTTCTAAATCTTCTTCAAACTCAGAAGATAAAAATGAAGAACTATTTATTTGATTCATTATTACGTTAAGAATAGGGAAGTTGTTAAACTTGAGAAGAACGCTGAACGAACGAGAAATGGCTTTCGGCTCATAATAAAAATGCGCATAATATGAAAGAACGACGTGATACTAATGTGTGTCCTTTAAACCGCACGTGAACTCACTTTTACTGTGATAGCATGTGAACTCACGTGACGTGACAGTAATGTAATTCCGCCTTTAGTGACAGATACGAAACGCTCGTTGCTGTGTTTTTTTATTAATTGGAAACACCCTTTGAATAAGAAGACTAAGGAAGGAGCATATCAAAAATCTTAGGTACACCGCGATGGGCCTCAAATATGGCCGACTTAAATTCCGGTTTACCAGTGTCATTCTAATTTTATTTAAAAAATGTAAAACTATGATGTAGGGTAGACGTGGGGTAGACTCAATAATTTGTTGTTTTATTTTACGTTGTGAATAAATGTTGGTAGTTATTAAAATTGTTATAAAAATATACAATTCTAATAAAAATAGATAAGTTATAATAAGTATTTATTAACACAAACATCCGATACGCTACTGAAGCAGGTAAGTCAAATTAACGTATCTAAAATCTTTGACATCTAATCTTTGACAAGTAATAAATAAAAGCTAAAATGCAAGAAAAATATATAATTTAGTTAATTTAAGTGAATTTCATAAATGATCGGTTTACTACACGTATGTATATTATATAGTCACGTACTAGCGAAAAGTTGTTCCATTATTTCACTCAATTTTTGCCGAGATCGACCGCACGCTACACAACCAACAATTTTAGAATCTTTTTCGATAAATCACGATAGTGTCACTGTTAATTTAAGTTCTGCCACAATTTCCATCTAGATTTACTACCTTTATACAACTTTATCCATCAGTAAAAATAACATAAAATAAGCTCCGTAAAGACTGACAAATCCACAAAATTTCAAATCAAATTGAAATGTGTCAAATGAATCGTCAAACAGAACTGTCAAGGATCTCCACCCTAGAGTGCTTTTATGGTGCTTTTTCCACCCACCATGCATGAATACATGGATAGCATTATGCTCCTTCCTTAGTCTTCTTATTCAAAGGAAACACCTTTAATAGGGTTATGGCGTTGTCAGACTTCGTTTTTTTCTCGACTGCATTGTTTTAGGAAAATTTGAAAGATAATGCGGACAACTTGCAAAGGTGGTAGTTGTTAAATCATTGTATATTTGAAACATATTTATTTATGTATTTTTAGTAAAAAAATGACAGTCAAAGCCACTATACAAATATTCCTTGTAGTATTATTATGTTTCCACAGTTAAATATTTATAATTTTTTAAATAATTGTATGTAGGTATATGTATTTTTCTATTACATTCTATTTTTCAACAGTACATTTCGATATATCTATTCTTTTCGGATACATTCCATGTCGTTTCAATCTAGCATAATTTGATTCATCATTGGGGCGATAATTTGATAATTGCTGGTAGACCTAAAAAAATTATATAAATTAATCAGAACATTCTTGATTTAAAAAAAAAACATTTCATACACAAGTAGATACTGTTAAAAGAAAAATTATGAATATGTCTAGAAAAAGAGTGCCACAACTTTATTTTTATTTAGGCATGCGTAAAGGCTGTCCGAATTTTAATGGAAGAAATTTTAGTGTCTGTTCTGACAACTCTTTGGATACCTCTTATAATGACAAAATGGCCTTTATATAAATGTAATTTTTAGATTAATATTTTGAAGCAGTAGATCTACAGAAAACAAGTTAAAATTTTTGTCATCGCACTCAAGCCTCTTACGTAAGGCCCTAAAAAAGTAGACAATATTTTCTTAAACAACCTCTACACTATCCCCGAAATGTTTTACGAAATATTTCTGGAAATATTTCGTGAAACATTTCGCAAAATATGGTATATAATAAATGGTATAAAAGATGCAATATTTTTTCTGCAGGCAACTTAATACTTATTAATATAATTACTTATTAATATAATATAATTACTAACGTTTAAGCACCACAGCGCTAAAAATACAAACCTCAAGTTAAGAAAAAAAATTGCAAAAAAACTGTCGTATTTTTTTGAAAACTTTCGACGGTTTGCGCGATCGGAAGATGTTATCCAAATTTCATATGTTTTTTTATCCGTATTGGGATGAAAATTAGTATCTGGGGTTTTAGATGTTAATATGACTCCTACTTGTAGGGGGCGCCACCTACATCTTTTTTAACTGTTCTAAGGATTAATAACTTTTCGTTCGTCCCGGTATTACATTAGTGAGTGAAAAAATATATATTTGTGCCTTTCTCTACGTAAAATATGTCTGTTGGTAAAAATTGCTGCGAGCAACCATTATCAAAATTTGGATTCTTAATAATCAATACATGCCATCAAAGACAAAAATTAAACATGTTCACTAGATAGATATTTGAGTAAATTGATAATTTTTTTAACGTAAGTTTATACGAACTTTTTTGCTTATTTTTATGTGCAAAATATGCTGCCGAAGTTTTCGGAATACAGTTCGGACCACCCTGTATTGATGATGTTGCCAGTATACTAATGTTATATTAATCAATTAAGGCCGCGTAAAGAAACATAACATATACAGGGTGGCGCACCTCATTCGCCTCGGTTGATTATACGAAAACGGAAAGATGTAGAAACAAAATATTTTATGAGTATATGTGGGGAGGTAACGTCCACAATTTAAAATTAGGTAAAGGTGTGGATCCGGTGGCTGACCTTGAAGCCCATATTTGCTGCATTTGATCATCGATACTACGCAAGCGCACATCGTCGATGTTGCCAAATTGCAGTTTATTTTCGAATTATTTGCAGTTGAAAACCAATGTTTTTTTTGAGTGTTAATCAGTAATAATACAAATTCTATAATTAATTTTATAATTTCGGATTTATCTTGATATCAAAAATTAAGGTAAGAAGGATAATGGAGATTGTGAAGTTAAGGTATTATGATTGTAATCGGAGTTGTAAGTAATATAATATTATTTCTCCAAAAATTCCTATATGGGTATTTCGCAACTGCAAGAAAATCTACAAAATAAAATAGTTATTTTTTTTGTAAACACTGCTGAGTAAATCCAATGGAAACTAATTAAAAATAATTAATATAATATTGTAATAATAATACCATTTATTTATATATTTACATTAGAATTAGAAATTATCATTTACGGATTTTTTCTTATTGGTTTTAAACCTATTAGAATTATTTTGTATCATCAATATGATACATTTATTACATCCAAGTTGTTTAATTTCTAGTTATTTACAGGCAACAATAAATTTTATTATATCAATTATATGTATATTGAAGTACTAACCTCATGACGAGTCTTACAGCACAATACAAGTCAATTAGATAGAGGTAAAATATTATATGCTAAGAAAATCCACAAAATTAGGTGGTAAGTGTGTAAGAACAGAAAAATCTTAAGGTAGCAGAAAAATTAATGCAATATATGCATAAACAGAATTAAACAAAGTAGGTACCTATTAATATTGCTGATTTGCTGATTCTACAATTATAATTACTGAGGCTAAAAGGCCTTTTTAAGGCCTACGTAGTTTTAATGGAGTGTTATAAAACCCATTATGAACATATGATACGGAGCTACAGCATTTAAAAATAAAAAAAAAATTGAACACACCCCGTTTTATTTCTATTTAATTTTATTAACTATGAAATTACATAATGAGCGTTCACGTGTTGTACGAAATATAAAAATAATAATATAAATAATACCGTATGATCGAAAAAAATGGTGTCAGCGATGACTAGAAATAATAAAGATCGCTGTCACCTTATATGTAAATTTATAAGGGAAATGTCATCGATCGTCATTTCCCAGCCAACTGGACGCCGTTTTTTTTCGATCGTACGGTATATATTGAGAAAAAAACACTGAAAAACAGTCATTGGAAAAACACATTATTTGCTTTCTACTGAAAATAATTCCAAAATAAAATGCAATCTGGCAACATCGACGATGTGCGCATGCGTAGTATCTGTGATTATATGCAGCAAAAACTCGTTTCAAGGTCAGCCACCGGATCCACACCTTTACCTAAAATTATTTTGAAATGTACAGGGTATTTCAGAACTAAGATCCATACCAAAGTTATGTATGGATCTTAGTTAGTGTTTAAACTACACTTTTTCAAACATGTCCTCCAAATTCTCCAAACGTTTCACTTCAAATGCACAAACATTTTTTTTTTATTTAAAATTACTCCCCCCCCCCCCAGATTTTTTTTTCTAAAACCGCCCTTGGTTGGGTAAAACTCAAGTCATATTGGAGGATAATACAGTACAAAGACGCCTGAAAACTTTTTAATTTTTATCTTAAACACAAAAATTATAGAATTAATAAAATATGTGGGACAATTATAGTTTATCTGAAGTCAGTTGAAATAGATTGGGACTCTTAATTTCGGCACTGTCTTTGTCGGCCCCTTTGTCGGCATCATCGGGACAAAGGAATTAAGAGTCTCAGTAGTTCCAGTTGACATCGGAAATACTATACTACTATGAAAGCACACTATCTGCATATATTTTTTACTTTTTTAAGACGGTGACTGGGGTTGAAAGAATTGTCTGCCCTTTTATTCCTGTTTGTGTAAATTGACTCATGAAACTTACACAACTATATAAAATAATAAAACAAAATAAAAAAACTTGCCGATTTGAAATTAAAATATTAACAAATTATTTATAATTATTAAATGTAAATAATTACATGTTAACTTTACATGTAATTTAATAAAAATAATACTCTCTACTTCATATCTTGAAAACGATTTTTTTCAAAGTTTGTAAATTAACACATAGAAGAAGGTTAGTTCAAAATTCTGTTTAGGTCATGTATATTTACTATATTTTTTTAAAAATGTTGTTTGTAAGAAAATTTAACATTGGTAGAAAATAATAATATTTGAGAGCAGCTAACTAACGTTTAATTTTTAAAATAATTTTTTTGTTCCGATACGTTTATTTAATAATGATTTTTATATTTTATTTTTTAATTTCAATTTGGTAAGTTTTTTGAAAAAGACGTAGGAGGTGAGAAAAAGTGTGTTTTAAAGCATCCTGTATAATCTACTTAGTACAACACTTCCGGTTGCTCGATATTCGTTTGATATTTACCGACATTTGGCCGCTAGATATTCTAGTCGCGCGGGTTGTGCCGCCGACTTTTGGTTACCTCTACTTTTTAATGATTTCTGCAATCTGACTCGCCGACTCTGGCCGGAGACACAGGTCCCCAGTTCTGCACAGTTTGGTGTGGTCCGGGAAAAAATACGGACGATAGAAATTAACAAGGATTAATGAACCCGCCGAATTCTACCCGCAGAGAGGAGTCGCGGAGTTGGCGGCTGGCTAGTCGGCGAGAGCCGCCGACTTTGCACAGTTTGGTGTAGTCCCGGCATTATGGAACACCCGGTATTTTATTTCATTTTTGGATTCTCGGGCCTAAAAAGGTATTTATTATAAGGGTTAAATATGTTTAAAGTCTTTGGTTTTTGAGATATTTAAAGATATTTAAAAATGCATACTGCAATAGAATAGATTATTAACACCCTGTACATTGCTTTTTAGAACTAATTCTTGTGCTGACTTTTAAGCCAGAGAAATAAAATTTGATTGCTTCGTTTAATGCATACAGGGGTATCAAAAACTGCGGTTCTATTTTAAATATTTATTTTAATTAGATCAAATGCTTTTTCAAACTATATTAGGGTTTCCTATACCTCTCTAGCTCAGATTTTGAATAAAGAGCTATTTTTCAATAAAATGGCAACCAAGATGGCTGATGTCGTCATGGCAAGTTTCTAGTGACAGTTGTAGCTATTTTCAAAATCGAAATTAGTTTATGGACTTTATTTAAATTTATAGCAGTTTACTTTTATTTAATAAAATAGAAAACAAATTTCTTGCAGTAGAGGTATATAATAAAATTATATACGGATTCTTGCCACCATAATTTGGCTTGCCTGAAAAAAAGCCTTTTACCATCCTTTTACTATCGATAGTTGCGCCTCGGTGGTACGAAAGTACTACCATTGCACGCAGGCCGCTATCTCCCGTTCGGGACTTAATATCTAACCGATACTTTCCGACAAGTCGGAATTAACTATCTCTGCGCTGTGGTTGTCATTTTGTGTATCTCCCAAGCTCACCTGATGATGGAGTAGGGCTCCGAAACCGGTAGTGAGAGCAGGTTGATCCGCATTATGACAAACACAGCGTAGAATTAAATTTCTATATTACCAGTTAAGTGGCAAGAATCCTTATATAATTTTATTATTTACTTTTATTTAATTTATCTACAATAGTTTAATACAGAATATTTGTTAAATATGTATTTATTATTCTATCAAGAAAAACGGAGAAGTAGTTTTTTTGATTTATTTTAAGATGATTTGTAGATATATGGATTTTCTATAAAAGAGCCAA